GTAGGCCGGGTCGTAGACTCGGAGACCCTGGTCGGTCTCATCCTCCGCGCGGTCATCGCCGCGAGCGGCCTTGATCTTCTTGATATCCGTAGCCAACACGGAATTCCTGGTAATGGGCAGCTCGTAAGACTTGCCAGTGCGGTTGTCAACAATGGTCAGCGACTGTCGCGGCGCGTTGGTTGCGCCACGTGGCGCGTTCTTTGCAACGGTAACCATTTCCAGTGGGGAGCTGGGGGGTTAATTCTGAGAAATGCTGGCTTCGAGAGATGAGATGACAGTGGAATTCAATGGCTTTCAATAGGACGTTGCTTGAGCCCGGGCGGATGGGATCTCAGATGCTACGGACAATGTTCCTTGTCCGGAGAGCTTCTCCTGAGCAGGTGAAAGCTGCGCTAAGACCGTCGGTTGACGTCGGGAGATCGGCAACTGTGCCCGAGTGCCGAGGTTCAACTGCAACTCTCCACGAGTTCCACCAGATCCCCAGATTAGTGGCTGAAGCTAGCTGCATTTGCACATGCCATGGGTGGGATCATGGTCTAGGAAGAAGCTTCCATCCTGGTCCAGGAACCACCAGATGATCATGTTCTCCTCGTCGGACCAGCGGCGATTCTTGCGCGCACAATGAACTCGGCATCATCCTCCAGTAGATATTCATTCTCTGGGCGGGGCTGAAGCCAATCGAGGATGCGACTCTCTCTCGTGGCATTTGATCCCATCGCATGTGATCGGAAGCTGCAAGCAAACCTTGCAGGGTGCTTCCATCGATGCACGGGTATCACTAGAGGCCATGCACTTTGAGTAAAGGTGACCGAAAGATGCAGTGCCGTAAAAGCCTAGAGACTGAATTTGAGAGAAATAGAAAGAGCCGATTCCTTGAGTCCGGGACAGTGTTTACTAATAGTGGTTGTGTTCGTGATTTGTGAAGGAGCTGCCCACAATTACTAGACCCGGTCTCAACTCGTGTTAATCCCTCAGAAACGTCTGCATCACAGGGACCTACTCTATCTTCCGCTCCACCTTTCGGACAGTTGTAAAAAGAGTCGATAGCACTTTTCTCAAGTTTCTGAGACAGACTTTCTTATAGATCTGAGTGTCATCGCGAAATTTAGCGCGTGGTGCTAAGCTCAGTCTGATCTGGATAAGTACGCCAATGAGAAGCAACATACAAGCTTCAACAGGAGCGGAAAGCTGCAAACCTACCAATTCATGACTACGCAGTAACACGGATGACTGCTTCTTTCCTTCCTTTCTTCTCTCAATCCGAGCTTCAGTGAGATTACTTATGGTCCGTCGTATCCATGATCTCTACATCCGCAGGGAGTTTCAGCGATTAATATGAAAGTTAGGTGACAACGGTCATCAGTGGAAACTTAGTTGCGTATCAGACTTGAAGTTTCCGTGCTTGGAGTGATAACTCAAAACCATACTTCAATCAGAGAATTGAGCCTTTTTGGAATACCTTTTGGAAGCTTGGCAATCCATCTCATTCAAAGGTTTCCCGTATCATACCATGAAGATGTCGATGTGTGCATTAAGTGCCTTCAATAACCCTGATCCATGCAAAAATCAGAACAAGACTCATGGTTCGAATGAAGATGCCCAGACTTTAATTCTTAGTGTAGATACAACGGCGACAGGCTTCCCCGCAAACCCGCTTAGTGGGCTGCCTCAAGGCTTGCTCTGAACAATTTGGGGTAAAAGCAGGGTGAATGTTCGCATTCTGTTTCCTCCGCACTTCTTTGCAGATCACCTCCGGATATCTTAATAGCGCACTGCACATCACTGCAAATGAACTTCCTTTTGAATTCATCCTTCCAAAAGGTCTCGGGCTAATTGATCGCGCAACCAAGCACGCCGACGTCACTTACCAGAACCATGGGATTGAGGAGAAGAACATGCATCTTAAGCACCCCGGTTGACCCGGATCGTCCTCCGTGTGGAGGAATCCAGGCTCGTAATTTCTCCGGGTAAATTGCTACAAAATGTCGCTTTTGCCATGGTTTCTAGATGCCTTACCCTAAATGCTTGCTTGAAAGTCTTGTGGGTCCCAGACTTGCAGGCAAAATACTCAGGATCGAAGTGAGCAAGATGATTTTGACATTTCTGTGCACCACCTTACTACCGGTGGTCGCGTTGGGAAGCATCGACCGGTTTGTCTATCTCTGACAATTGATTGTTAGACCACCTTCCAGCTGACATATCTAACTTAGACAGCGCGTTGTGTCCCAATTCAATGTTGTCCGCACAACTTTGATCGATAACAACACCACGCCATTGCAAGTCGGCAACGGCAACTTCGCCTTCAATGTCGATAACACAGGCATGCAGGTGAGTATCAACTGCGACCACACAGTGTATGTACCTCAAGGAATTCAAGCTGAAGTTGCAAACTCTGAGAGACTTTCCTGCCCTTCAATACGCTTTCGAGCTGGGCCTGGCACAACGATTCGCTTCCAACCAACGGGTTTGTCATACCGCGAGGATCTTGAACAGGATAAAATGCTGAGACTTCACCTACAGCGAGAAGCTAAGCGACTACACTGGCGTTCCTATGCTGACCCACGGCCGAAACGTTTCCTACGACATCCCTGACTCCAAGCTCCCGCAAGTCTCGCAATGGATCATTGGGAACCCTAATCGCATCAATCTGGGCCGGATCGGTCTGAAGTTCAAGGGAGAGACACTATCTGCAGCGGCCATCGCAGAGCCAAGACAGGAGCTGGACCTCTGGAGCGGCATCATCACCTCAACTTTCAAAGTCGACGGTAAAGCCGTCAAAGTGGTCACACAAGGCGACTTCGCAACCGATGCCGTCACCTTCCAAATCGAATCGGTCCTCGTGTCCTCTGGTGACTTGAACATCGAGCTCGACTTCCCGTACCCACCGATTCACACGACAAAGTACAAGTATGAAGTCTTTGCCGGCGTGTACGACTTCCCGTTGAACCACACGACTCGAATCGTCAACAGTTGCGGGCGATCCGATCTGGCGCATATCTACCACGAGTTGCAGGAGACGAGCTACTTTGTTAACCTGCGCTGGTCTCATGGAGCGCCTTTAAATCTCTCGCGGGATGAACCAGAGGGCTCTGATAAGGTCGACGCTCATCGATACACGCTTTCCCCTGTTGGTGGTACTAACCAGACTGCAACTTCTTTGACCTTTACTGCGGACTTTTCACCGCAGAAGCAGGATCCCAGGCCTCCGGCCGATGTCCAAGAGGAAAGCATTGCTGAATGGCACGACTACTGGAACGAGGGCGGTTTCGTCGACCTGACCTTATCATCTAACCCGAATGCTACAGAGTTGCAGAGACGCATCATTCTATCGCAATATCATGTCCGCGTTAACAGCGCGGCATCCGGCCAATCACCTCAGGAGAGTGGACTGATGAACAATGGGTGGTACGGTGTGTACACGCACTCATGTCACATTCGAAGCGATTTTCGAAGCTAATTTAGGCAGGTAAATTTCACATGGAAATGGTCATTTGGCATAATGCCCATTGGGTTACATGGGGACGAAAGAAGTATTTCGATGACATATTCCCGGAGATCTACGAGACTCTACTTCCATCTTCCCTCGCAAGAGCGAAAGCACAAGGGTGGGAGGGGGCCAGGTAGGCTCGCTTCAATTGTAGAACTGGTTGGCCTACGATCTAACTGTATATGTAGGTGGCCCAAGATGACGGAGCTAGAAACGGGTGTCAGTTCCCCTGGTGGAATCAACGGCCTTTTACTTTGGCAACAGGTACTATTTTCAGCTTCCGGACGCAGCGCCAATTCACAGAGAAATACTTTGCTAACAAGACAGCCTCACCCCATGTACCTCGCAGAACTTGCGTATCAGTCTTCACCGACCGATGACACCCTCAAGCAATGGGATGCAGTCTTGACGGCGACTGCCAACTATATGACGTCGTACGCCTGGAAGAATGAAAGCTCGGGACATTATGACTTGGGCCCGCCGTGAGTCTGACTTTGACACAGACGGATGAAAAGAAGTATAGGCTGATCATGGAATTCTCCCAGCTCATACGGCGTAACTGAGAATACCCCACCTTCACAGACATTGAATCTAGCCTACGAGGTAAGCACAATCCAGCTAATCTACCAAAGCCCTCGTCTTACATCGATACACCTAGATCGCATACTGGAGATACGGACTCAATCTCGCCCGCGAGTGGAAGAAGAGACTAGGCCAGCCGATTCCCGAAAAATGGACAGAAGTAGCCGAGAACCTCGCCCCGCCACCACAAGTGGACGGCCTATACGCCGTATACGAGGGTTTGAATAGCACATGGTGGCAAGACCCCACTCTCAACGGGGACCCGCGCAGCCTCATCATGATGCAGGGGATACTGCCAGACACCCCAGCCGTCGACCCCGACGTCGCGCTCAAGACGGCGGATAAGGTGTGGGAGGTGTGGACGGACCAGAAGATCCGCGGCTGGGGACGGCCTGTGCTGGCTATCAATTCGGCAAGGATCGGGAACCCGGAGAGGGCTATTTATCACTTGACGGCGTATGATTACTGGAAATTCGACGATGCTGGATATGCCATTCGCGGTGGAGATGGTATGTCGTCTCCTTTTTGACACCTGTCACGTTGCTGACTGTTGACATAGGCGGCACGCCTCCCCCTTTCATGCCCGGAAACGCTGGATTCCTGTATGCAGGTAAGTCGTGATCCTCATATCTGCCATGAAAACCCTTGGGAACTGACGATCCCTAGTCGCATACATGGCCGCTGGCTGGCAAGGGTCAGAAGGCGACGCACCCGGCTTCCCTCAGGGAGCTGGATGGGTCGTCAAGCAGGAGGGACTTCAGAAGGCACCCTGAGGAGGCCATATAGTATTTGTGATTTCCTATGATGAATCAAATTTCGAATCCTGTGACTTCAAAAAGGTTTCCAAACCTGTGCATGACCTTAACTGAGAACAGCGAATCTGGCCGATGAACTTTGATTCTTCGAATAACCTGAAGTTTAGATTACTGCGCTTGTTTTGTGTCTTCTTCTACCACTCTCTAATCTCTCCACCGGGTCCAATGAATCCAGGGCTGACCCAAGCCTTCGCATCCTTAGACAACTCACGAACTTGCGCCTCATCAATCTCAATACCCAATCCAGGCCCAGTCAGAAGATCGATATACCCATCTGTGACCTTCCACACCTCCGGGTTATGAGTATAACTCGTCAGATCCTGACCCGTGCTGTTGTAATGAATCCCTAAACTCATCTCCTGAATCACGAAATTCGGCGACGCAAAGTCAACCTGCGCATTCGCAGCCAACGCAATTGGTCCCAGCGGACAATGCGGCGCCAGCGCAACATCATACGCCTCCGCCATAGCCGCGATCCTCCGCATCTCAGAAATCCCGCCGACGTGGGAGATATCAGGCTGGAGAATATCCACACACCCGGCCTCGAGGAACGGCTTCACATCCCAGCGGCTGTGCAGGCGCTCGCCAAGGGCGATAGGGATCGAGGTAAGGTGGCTGATCTCCTTGATGCCGCCCAGGTGCTCGGAAAGCAAGGGTTCCTCGATAAAGAGCGGGCGGTGCGGCTCTAGGGCCTTTGCGAGTTGCTTGGCCATGGGCTTGTGTACGCGGCCGTGGAAGTCGACGCCGGCGTCCATGCCGAGGGCTTTTACGGCCTTGACGCGTTCGACGGCTGCGTCGAGGGCGTCGGGGGAGTCGAGCCAGCCGAGGTCTTCTGTGCCGTTCATCTTGACGGCTTTGAAGCCCTGTTCCTTGCGGGCTCGTCTGTTGTGGGATACCAGTGATTAGAAGGGCTGCGTCTGGAAAGATGATTGATGGTTTTGGTGTTCACTTACGCCTGCTGTTCTACGTCGTTTGGTCGGTCACCGCCGATCCATGCGTAGACCTTGAGCTTATCTCTCACCTTTCCTCCTAGGAGCTGCCAAATGGGGAGTCCCAGCTTTCTCGCTGTTGAACGTTAGTCACAGCATCGCAGGTAAGGCTGTATCAAGTCTGCTCACCCTTGAGATCCCATAAGGCAATGTCGATGCCTGCCAACGCGCTCATGAAGACCGGCCCGCCGCGATAGAATGTTGTCCTCCATGACATCTGCCAAATGTGCTCAATGTCGCTTCTTAGGGTCAGCAAAGTGAAAGTGAATGGTGGGATAAATCGACATACTCAGCTTCCATGCCCGAATACCTCTCAAACCAGGCGTCGAGACAGCCTTCCACGGCTTGAGTGTGGCCCTCGAGAGATGCTTCGCCCCAGCCAACGTTGCCCGCCTCATCTGTGATCTTCACGAATAACCACCGAGGTGGCACTCGGAAGTACTCCATCTTTGCGATCTTGCCCATGATGACTGGAGTTCTGCTGACAATGACGTCGGTAAACTTTGATACGGTGCCTCAGAAGAAGTGAGGTGTGAAACAAAAGACAGGTCGACAGCTTCGCTTGACTCTGATAGACAAACGCTTCAACCAGCTTACTTGAGGCAATCGTGAGCTGATATTACCACCTCAAAGCGGAGCTTGACGGAGTTGAATGACGGGAAAGTCGGCTTGAAGTCCGGAACCTCTCCGACCCGCCTCCTCAGCCGCCTCTCGTCTCCCGATCCGCCTCCGAATCGCATATCCCTCCCCCGTCGGAGAAGGGAGCATGGGTATTACCCGGCTACACGCAGTGGTGGAGAAGGGTGGGATGAGGTGTGCGGGGTTCGGTACACCCTCACCCGAGTCTATTGCCAGGGGATGGAGGGGTGGTGCGGGGTCCAAGGTGTACGCTTTTCCGTTCGGTGAGGGTACTGCACAGATGAAGAGCGGAAAAGGTTCACCGAGGCGGTTCACAAGCTATTGGTGGCTTGCGGATTCCCGGTTCTATCAAATTGAGATTACAACGCTACGGATACTGGTTTATCCTCATGAGAGATTCACAACATCTATTATTCCGTGTCTATGCTTGGCCCGCTCTGATCTTCTTCTGCTGTGCCACCCAGGTCTCTACCGCCTTCTTCAGCGTCTCCGGGTCCGACTCGCCAAAGATGTCTTGACCGAGGCGGGCTGGGAAGTTGTAACGGTGCTTCCTGTCCAAGGCGTTGATCTTCTCGAAAACGTCCTTGGGGAGCTCAAACACTAGTAAAAGTCAGTGCCTATCAAACTGAAAGTGTAGACACCAGTTTCTGTGATCACATACCTTCAAAGTTCTTCTCGATTCTTGAGGGAGTGACGGACTTGGGCAACACCACGGTGCCTCTCTGAACTGACCAGCTGATAATGAGTTGCGCCGGCTCCTTACCGAGGGACTTGGCCAGCTCGGCGATGGCGGGGTCGTCAACGGCACTGATGCAGATTAGTTCATATGCTTTACACAATTCTCGGAAGAGAACACGCAGGTATTTGCTGGCCACTCACCGAGGCAGGTTGTAAATGTTGTTAGCGAGGGGGCTGTACGCCGTGACAACAATACCCTGCATTCACAAGCCCACAGATTAACGACCCTACAACGGGAATGCAACATCGGAGATTTTTTCCGCTTCGACTGGACATGGACTCACCTTTTCCTTGGACCAGGCCAGGAGGTCGGGCTGCTGCAGGTACGGGTGCGCCTCAATTTGGTTCACCGCAGGCTTGATCTCGGCCTTGTCCCAGAGGTCCTCAATCTTCTCGCGGGTGAAGTTGGAGACGCCAATGGAACGGATCTTGCCCTTCTTGACAAGAGCCTCCATGGCCTTCCACGTCTCGATGACGGGGACGTCGATGACGTCGACGGCCTCGGTGACGGGGTGCAGCGGGAAGCGGGTGGCATCGTCCTTTTTGTTGAAGGATACGGGCCAGTGAATCTAATGCACGACATTCTTGCGTTAGGGATGGCAGATCGAGAGGGGCGGCAAGTGTAGGTGGAAAGCATGACAGAAAAGGTAGATGATGCTTACCAGGTACAAGTCGACGTAGTCAGTCTGCAGGTCGCTGAGGGTAATGTCTAGTGCGGTCTCAACATCCTCTGCCTTGTGGTGGGTGTTCCAAAGCTTGCTGGTGACCTGGGAGGGGAGAGACAAGGATCAGCCATCTAATACCCGATGCAGTGAGTAGGGGAATGATAAAGCTTACAAAGATGTCTTTCCTTGGGACGCCAGAAGCCTTGAGACCTTCGCCGACTTCCTTCTCGTTGTCGTAGACGGCTGCCGCGTCAATGTGGCGGTACCCCGACTTGAGGGCATGCTCAACGGCGTTCTTGACCTCATTGGGCTTGGATTGCTACAGATTCACATGATTGATCAGGAGAATATTCTCTATCAGCTCACCATCCTCGAAAACTTACCCAGGTGCCCAGGCCAACCGCTGGGATCTCGTGTCCTGAGAGAAGCTTGAAAGACTGAGCTAACGTCATTGTTGTAGAGCAAGTAGCTAAGTGCGGCGATGCTTCCGTGATCGGATGTAATTGTATAGACGAAGGTCAGAAAAAGTGCAGTTATCCGCGTGGGTTATGTTGGTCTATCATATGTCACTCCCAACACAAATAACAAATTTCTCCAGAGCTCTTATATCCCCAATTTGAGGCTGTCGTCACTCCCATCTCGCCTGCAAGATTTCCGCATCACACAATGAGGGGTGTCTAACACGGTCCGTTGGCACGGAATTGGCCTTATGTAAACCTCTTTTTCCGGCCTTTTCCTCCCATCTTCTCTACCCCCACTTAACTCTGCATGGCTCCCGTCAAGCAAGACGACGTCCGACAGCCGGGACCCGTTCGTAAGAAACCCCTTGAGACTAGAGTTGCTAGAGACGGTCCAGACGGGATGGTGTCGGGATGTTCCCCGCTCGGTGGTCTTCTTTGGCGCAACTTGTCCCCACCCCCGCGTCATCACACCCCGAGAACGCCATCGAACAAGTCCCTCGCGGGATTGCCGAGGAGCACCGAGACCGGGTCTGACACGTTTTCCATCGTGAACGTAAATTCCAACGAGGGGTCAACAAAAACCTCACGACTGAAAGAAGAACGTTGCAGCATCGTGATACCCGGAGTCGTCAATCTCAATCCCCCAAGTCTCTCTCAAGTGAAGCTCAGTCTCTCACAACCTCTAGCTACCTAATCCTTCCCCCTTCATCACTCAAAAACACACATTCACATCACAATGGCAGACGTCAGAGTACCACCCACGGGCGTCTTCGTCCCAGTGCCAACCTTCTTCCACTCCGCCTCTGATTCCGCAGGCGCCCTCCAGCCCAAGGTCGACATCGACACCCAAGTCAAGCACAGCGTCTATCTCGCAAAGAATGGTATCCGCGGCCTGGTTCTCCTCGGCTCAACCGGCGAGGCCATCCACCTGAACAAGGCCGAGCGTCACGACCTCGTCGCCGGCGTCAAGAAGGGCCTCGAGGAGGCCGGCTTCCCCGATTACCCCATCATGGCCGGCGTCTTGACCAACGGCATCGACGAGACTCTCGAGTGGCTCGAGGACTACGCAAAGGCTGGCGCCCAATGGGGTCTGGTGCTCGTTCCCGGATACTTTGGTACCGCCGCGAACCAGGAGAACATTAAGGAGTGGTACACTGTCGTCGCTGACAAGAGCCCTCTGCCCATTCTTGTGTGAGTTATGAACCGTCAATTGCGAAATGCGCTTTGCACGCGCGAGATGGCATTCGTGCTAATTCGGCATAGATACAACTACCCCGGCGTCACAAACAACGTCCTCGTCGAGCCCGACACGTACAAGGACCTCGCCCAGCACCCCAAGATCGTCGGTTGCAAGATGTAAGCAACTCCCAAAGATGCACTCAATCTCTACCCCAGGAACCCTTCTAACACGGTCCCCCCAAACCCCAGGTCCCACGGAAACGTCTCCCTCCACATCCAAGTCTCCTCCGACCCGCGCATCGACCACTCCAAATTCCGCGTCTACAGCGGCTTCGGCCAACAGCTCGCGCCCATCGTCCTCTTCGGCGCCGCGGGCGTCATCGACGGCCTCGCCGCCTTCTACCCCAAGACGGTCTCGCGCCTCTTCAGCCTGGCGGAGAAGCGCCCCGTCGACCAGAGCACCCTCGAGGAGGTGCAGCGCCTGCAGTACGCCGTCAGCCGCGCCGAGGACTTCATCGGCAAGACGGGCATCATTGGTATCCGCGAGGGTATCATCCGCAAGGCCGGCTTCGGCGCGCTCGAGGGCGGGCGGTTGCCGCTCAAGGGACGCTTGGATGAGGGTACCTTCAAGGCGTTGGATTCGCTCTTGTTTTCGGATATTCAAAAGATTGAGGACTCTCTGTAAGGCACTAGTAGCTTAGACGAGTTGGAGCTGGGAGCTTATGAATTGCATGATTGGCCATGATACCAAACATTGAGAGGCTTGACATAGCCGTCAGGCACTATTTTGGTGCCACGGAAAAGCACACTGCTTGTTTCGCATGCCTGTGTCTGTCTCATGGTAGCGTTGTGACTAGTGGACCTTGATGCCGATGAACCCAGTGACCAGTCTATTCCCCATGATCCTACTTCCTAACGCCGTCTCTCCACGTTTCCCCGCGTCTGTTCTGGGGCCGTCTATCCGAGAGGTAAGAAGCCTGGTGTATGTCCTCGTCTGCATGCGGACCAGGCCTGTGTAGTAGATAGGGTGTATCTTGCTGTATACATGGACCCACGCGTGTATATATGGAAATGTGATCACCACCTTTAAGTCTTGACTTGACGATGCTAGTCTCTTATCTCAAACCATTGGTATCGATACTTTGACCAGCTCACAATGTCTACAGATCTCTCTTCTGAACATGCAGACCTGCAGCCTTCCAGGCCTCAGGGCATTGGGTACGGCATCGACGAGCTCAAGCCTAGTGCGGTTCAGTTCGAAACCATGGAAGAAGGCGGCCCTCAGAAATTCAAGCTTTCCAAGGCCGGTGGGGATGTCGCCTTGGCACTCTTCGACAACGTGGGCGATGTGCACGAACCCATCGACCCGGAAGAGGAACGTCGACTAGTCCGCAAGGTTGACTGGATGATTCTCCCATACATTTCAGTCTGCTACGTCTTTTTCTATGTAAGTTATACTGCCTAGCCTTCTTGCCAAGCACCGCCAAAAGGCTTGTTTCTCCGTAGTCACCAAGACCACGCATGTCTAACGTAGGCAGATTGACAAAACCACCCTCTCATACGCTGCCATCTTCGGTATCCAGAGTGATCTCAAACTCAAGGGCACCGAGTATAGCTGGCTGTCATCAATCTTTTACTTTGGATTTCTCGTATGGGCTCTGCCCACAAACTTTATGCTGCAAAAGTTCCCCATCGCAAAGTATCTCGGCCTCAACATCTTTGCCTGGGGTGCGTTTCTCATGCTCCAAGCCGCTGCACCCAACTTTGGAGCCTTGGCCGCGCTTCGTGCCATCAGCGGAGCAGCAGAGGCATGCGCCGACCCTGCCTTTATGATCATCACCAGGTCTGTCCCAGCCTTTTCTCAATCTGAATTATTCTATAGATCAAACATCGCTGACTGAGCTCAGCATGTGGTACACCCGCCGGGAGCAACCCATCAAAATAGGCCTCTGGTACACCGCCAACGGCATCGGCATCGCCCTCGGCGGCCTCCTAGGCTACGGCATCGGCAACATTAAAGGCGTGCTGGCGTCCTGGAAATACGAGTTCATCATCGTCGGCACCTTGTGCTGCGCGTGGGGCATCGTCATTGCCGTGTTCCTGCCGGATAACCCCATCACGAGCAGCAAGCTTACAAACCGCGAGAAGAAGATCATCGTCGAGCGGTTACGCGAGAATCAGACTGGCGTGGAGAATAAGACGCTGAAGTTCTATCAGGTGCGCGAGGCGTTTACGGACTACAAGCTGTACTTTTTCTTCATGATTGCCTTGTTGCAGGCGATTGTGAATGGGGGGACGTCTAATTTTGGGACTCTGATTATCAAGGGCTTCAAGTTTTCGACATGTAAGTCAAAGCTTCATCACCGCTCAGTTAGCCTTGATTTCTAACATGCCGGTGTAAAGTGGTCACGGCGGTCCTTCAGATCCCCTACGGAGCCATCATCTTTATCGCTATTCTTGCGTGCGTCTTCATCAACGACAGGCTGCCGCCGAATAATCGTTGCTTCGTGCTGGTGCTCTTCTTATTACCCAACGTCGCTGGGGCGTTTGGTCTCCGCTTTGTGCCTGATGACCAGCAGGTCGGCAGGCTAATTTGCTACTATGTGAGTTTTCGCGAATGTGAACCTCCTGACGTGCATCATTCTGACAAGTCTCCATTGAAGTTGACCGGCTCCATCAATGCCTCTTTCGTACTTCTCCTCTCGCTCCAGACCGCCAACATCGCCGGACACACCAAAAAGGTCGTCACCTCCGCGTGCCTGTTCCTGGGATACTGCGTCGGTAACATCGCGGGTCCCTTCTTCTACAAGTCGGACCAGGCGCCCAAGTATGAGTTGGGTATTTGGAGTATGATTGTCGCTCACTTGCTCGAGGTTGTGGTTGTGATTGCCCTGCGGTTTTTGCTCAAGTGGGAGAATGATAGACGGGACCGAGTGCAGGGGGAAGTCGCCGAGGTTGATTTGGATGCGACGGCGTTTGGAGATTTGACGGATCGTGAGAACTTGAACTTTCGGTACATTTACTGATCAAGCGTCAAGCCTGCTGACTCAAAGACGTTCTGCCATAAGATTTGCGATGTGAGAGTGCGGTCTGGGAGCAATTTAGATCACTGAAGCTGGGGTTTATGTTAGTCTCGAAATCGTAGCATTGCCTCACTCTATGGTGCAATATACACAGGCATTGCCGTAGCCAAAGTTCCCCGAACTACGTAGATTGAGTATCAGCGTCTCTGAAGCCATTCGCATAAGAGCTTGCTCAACTCACTTGCACCTAGAGTGAGATGCATCGCGTGCTAAAGAACAGTATCGTGGACTCACTAATAACGGATAATGATCCGCGCAAACACACGGTTATAAATCGGGCGTAGTGAACAGCTGCCGACGCCGGTGCATTTGGCGCCGACAGCTAAATGCTAAAGTCTGCGCAGCTTTACCTTCACCACACCTCACTCAATTCTCATTGCGCTCACCAAGACTCATCGCAGCATTAGTTACAAAGCCCTGCCAGTAACACTGTTATCATCATGTCATCTTCTGCACCTCCTCCGAGACCACCGTTCTCATCTCTTCCTCTAGACCCTGCTGGGCCTCCTGGAAACGCATGGGGTCTGTACGGCAAAGATGACCGCTTAGGGGCGCTGAACCTTCTCACCCCCGCAATCGTAGCCGCTGCCGCAGCATCTGAGATTCGAACTGGTCAACGAGTATCGCTGGATTGGTCATTGAATAACCCTTCTCAGCCAAGTTTCGACCGGGCACCATTCGAGTCTAAACTCGTCAATCGAGCTCATCCGAGCGGCGTGAAGAGGACGGTGAATGATGATATTTTGCACTTCAACACACAATGTAGCAGCCAGTGGGACGGCTTCAGGCACTATGGTACTCAACTCAAGGCTGCTAATAAGTGAGCGATATCACTAACTGTAATAACCTAAGGGTACCAGAAAGCCAAACGATACTATAACAACACGACCCAAGATGACCTGGATAACCCCGGAAACATTGGCATAGACGGCAAGTTGACCGTAAACTGTGCATTCATCCTCATTTGGCGACTGACTTCTAGCGCAGCTTGGGTCGAAAAGGGCGGCATCGTCGGCCGCGGCGTCCTCCTCGACTACGCCAGCTTCTGCGCCCGCCACTCCCTGCCCCTCGACGCCTTCACAAGCAGCGACATCTCCCTCGCTCACCTGCAACAGGTCGCCGCTGAGCAGAACATCACCTTCCGGCCGGGCGACATCCTCTTCATCCGCTCCGGCTTCACGGCAGGCTACAACGCCAAAGACGACGCCGCGCAAAAGGCCGTTGCGGCACGCGCCAGCCCAGACTTTCTCGGCCTTGAACCCACGAAGGACGTGCTCCGTTGGATATGGGAGACGGGGTTCGCGGCCGTGGCGGGCGACGCGCCGAGTTTCGAGAGGGCGCCCATCGCGGGCCCGCATACGGCTGTCGGCGGCGTGTGGAAGGGCGAGGCGTGGGAGGAAGAGATGCAGGGCGGTGGTTTGCTGCATCAATGGCTGCTGGGAGGTTGGGGGTTGCCCATTGGCGAGATGTTTGATCTCGAGGCTCTGAGTTCGATGTGTCGGGAGCTGGGAAGATGGACCTTCTTTGTGAGCAGTGTGCCGCTCAAGGTAAGTCTTGAAGACTGGTTCTTTTTCGATTCGTTTCTTCTTCCATTACTCATGTTGGAGGGTATGTTCGCCTCGAAAAAGCGTACTGATAATTTGTTTCCACGTGTAGGTTCCGGGTGGTGTTGCCAGCCCTCCCAACGCCGTTGCCATCTTCTGATCCCAGAGTCACATAGTCTTGGGATGGTCATCCTATTTAGAGTTTTGGCCACGTTTTGTGAGAATAATAGAGTTGCTTTGGTGTTCTAGTCTTCTTCACCTCGGTGTACCTCAGTGTTCGGGAGTGTAATCAATGTGTCAATGTTCCATTTCTGGCCTTCCCCGGTGATGGGATGTTGCTGGTTCGCTTGGCTTTGCTCGGACTTTGCGGCTGGTTGGCGCGTTTGCAGATCCCTGACATTTTCAAATTTAGTGGTCTGTCGTCTCTGGAACATAATTCTTCGTCTCTCTGTAATTCAATAGCTTGGCGAGTTCTCAGCACATCATCGTTTAGAGAGTTCTCTAATTCGAATTGGTCACTCGTCATCTCGTGTTACTCTCATCCCGCCTCAAGAGTCAAGACCCCCCAGCATTGCTAGCATATGCCATGTAAGTTGGGAGCCCCAACGACCACTCCCCCAACCATTCGACTCCGTATGCCACTCCAGATGATTCGACTCGGGGGTACCAGGGGAGCCTCCCCCGCAAGGAACCATCCATCACCCACAAGGATCCTAATCCAGACCGGACCAGCAAGGCGAGATCAGGCCTAGGGGGCCACAAAGGAAGTAGGAGGCAGACTAGGAAGACGGGGACCGGCCGGGTACCCCGCATTGTCTTCCCCATTCCCAAAAGGATTAAGAATGAGGTGACATTTCCGTCTTTCCACGTCCGCCGCCTGTGGTTCCCCTCTCTTCCCCCTTCCCTTCCCATTCACTCGACCATGTTTCCGTGTGTCCAGCTCCAGCAGCAGGATCAGGGGAGTCTGCCGCCAATTTGCTGCCGCACTACGGAGTAAGCCTCCCTTCCCAGGGACACGGCAAATGGACCTGGACACCGACCAAGGCGACTCCGGTGTCGGCATCGGCACCGGTAGCAACCGCAACGGCAATGCCATGGTGAATGGAATCCATCACCCCGGCGTTCGCCGCCATTCCCACTCACACCATAATGAAGGAGGAGGAGTAGGAAGTCTTGGTAATCACAGTCACGGCAATGGTAGCAAACACAGCAACGGCAATGGAAACGCATCGTCAAGCGGCAACGGAACCGGGAACGGCCGTCACGGCAGCACCAGCAGCAGCAGCATTCATGTTCACAATGAGAACGGCAACGGCAATGGCACAGGAAATCACAACCAGCAGCTGGCATCTCCGCCGCTCACGAATCCGTCGAATCCAACTCCACTGACGGAGAGCGGAAGACGTCGTCGGCACCGCGACAAGGAGCGCGTCCGCGTCACCCGCGCCTGCGACAGGTGCAAGAAGCGCAAGATCCGCTGCACGGGCATCCAGCCCTGCGAGTTGTGCATCCGCACCGAGTCCCACTGCACCTACAACGCGTCTTATGCACGGGGTCGTCAGCCGCCCGTGGCCACTCGGGAGGATGTCGCCCGAATGGACCTCGATGGCCTCGACGTCTCCGTGTCGGACCATCCCAACGCTGCTGCTGCCGCTGTTGCTGGTGAAGATGCGTTGATGGGCTCTTCCATCGTCGTGGACGTCTCTGACCCCGGTGATACTGACCATCAAGACGAGACCATCATGAACGGCACGAGTCTGGCCGTTGTTGGCAGCGTCGGCCCCGGAACCGCTGAGCCTCCTTCTCGGGCCTCTCCTGAACCTACTCAGACGGATCTCCAAGGCCATTATGTCGGTCCCTCATCCGGTGTCTCATTCCTCTTGAGAGTCCAGAAACGCCTTCACCAAGCCGTTTCCTTCTCACAAGCCTCCTCCATCTTCACCTTTGGCGATGCACCGCTCCCAGACTTTGACCCCAGCGGCGCCTTCTGCGTCCTGTTGTCCAAGGAAGAAGCCACGACACTCTTGAAGAGATACTTTGAGTTCGCCGTACCAACCCACCGCTTCCTGCATCGCCCCACGGTGGAAGGCTGGCTGGAAGAGTTCTATGACACCATGGGTGCCATGAAGAGCCAGGAGGACGCACCAGCCCGGAGAGCCCTGCTATTTATGGTGTTTGCTCAGGCGCAGGAGTACATGGGCACCACACACTCGCGTGAGAACGCAGACGCGAGGTAAGTTTGTTACAGCCCGCCGCGGAGGATACGTCTTCCGTCCCATGTCATTTTGCACCGTCGTCGTCGCATGTCAATATCCGTCTCTGCAAGGACTAACACATGAGGACCAGCGCTCGATACTTCTTGGCTGCAGATCACCAGCTCTCCAAAGAGAGAGGCGCCGTCCGCCTGACCAGCGTCCAGGCCCGGCTATGCCAGTGCTTCTGGCTGCTGTCACAGTCTCGCATTAACCACTGCTGGAGCTTATTCGGCACCGCAGGACACCTTGCTCTCGCCATTGGTCTGAATCGTAACAGGCATGCGGACCCGGCCGGGGGATACAACTACATTGAGCTCGAGTGTCGCCGTCGCACGTTTTGGTGCGCTTACAGTCTCGATAACTATCTCAGTGCCGCACTTGGACGTCCACGAACGTTCCATGATGAGGACATTGATCAGGAACTCCCATCCTGTTCAGAAGACGCGGATCTCCATGCAGACCATATCACACCACGTATGGGCCGGGGCCAGTCACTCATGCTGGCTCCGGTGGCTCATGTCAAGTAAGTGATCCCTCACATTCCCTCTCTCGTTCATGGTACTGATATCAGTCCAGGCTCTCACGGATAGTGAGCATGATCTTGCGTGACCTCTACTCCATACGACCGTCGTCGTTCTCAAACAGATGTGCTCTGGCGGCGAAATATTCTCAAAATCTGAAGCACTGGAGGGCTGAAATGTCGCAGTTCTTAGATGATGGCGTCAACACGGCATTACTCATTCCCATCTTCCAACGGCAACGCAACGTGTTGAACTTGGCGTACTGGCATGCCATGATTCTCACGCATAGGCCCTTTTTGCTGAGCAACTTTGCCCGCTTACAACGAAACGGCAAAAGTCGTCGGAAGAGTGTACCTCACAAGGACCAAACAGAAGAAAGCGTCAACGCCTGTCTCGACGCGGCCATGCACGTTGTCGACACCGTCAATGATCTCATCCAGGCAGGGCAGCTATTCCGTGCGTTCTGGGTAAGTCCTCACCAACACTCTGCATCGAACTGCCCCTGCTAACTCTGAGCCTCCCGTAGTTCACTTCCTACTTTGCCTTCTCAGCCGTCGTTGTTCTCTATGTATATACCATCCAGCAACGAACAGCCCCTACAGAGGCATGGCAGGCTTATTTTAACGCGGCATGTCGCTGCCAGACGCAACTAGCCTCGCTTGCCGATAACGAGTCGACCCTGGCCGCGCGATACTGTCTCGTGCTTGAGGAATTGAGAACCGAGGCGCTTCGACAGACCGAGCGGCACCAGAGCCCGGCCGTGACCCATCAGACGGGACAAAATGGCGGACAGATTTCCCGCGCCGCTATCGTTGCTGGTGGGAACGAAGATGTCCAGCCGCAGCATGAGCAGCATCACCTGGCCAATCTCAACTTCCCCGATGTGGGACATGCAGACGAGTTTGTTGGGTTTGATGCGAGCCCAAGCAGCTCTTTGGCTGATATGACGAGCTGGGGCCAATTTGACTCCATGGTATGTTACAATCCCATAACGCGAGGCACATTCTCCTTGTCAGCGTATTGATATTTGTGTTAGGTCACTTCTGGGTTTGGAGGACTCGAAGCTTTACTCAATGATGACTCCCTACGATTCTAACGACTATTGCTTACCAATTTGCTCAAGTTTGGATCCGGGCCAACATGTCAGCTATTTTTATTGCATCTCGCAATCCCTGCGGCGTCCAGGAATGCATGGAGTTCATTCTTGCTTCTCCCACTGCCATAGTACTTTGTAGTTTAACCTGATGACTTGCGATCAAAGTCTCACAACTATGCAATGTCTGTTCATGAAGTACGTTTATACAAAACACTGCCACCTACAAGCAACCGTACAATCTACGAAAGAGCTGCTTGAAGCCCCTCGAGAATAGCCAAGACGCCCTCGGCACCCGGGTCCGGCACCTTACCCCAGGCAGACTCCTCAACGTAAACCGCCCGACCAAGAGAAGCCGCCATACCCTTGGTAGCCTCAACTCCCCTCCTCGCAGCCTCAACCGCATCACCCACGCTCCCGGAACTCTCCAACGTCCTCACAAACGGCTCCAGTGCATCAATCAGCGTCCTGTCCCCTTGCCGAGCCGGCGTAGCCTGCTGCAGCGTCTCCAGGGCTCCGACAGCAACCTTGGTCCACGCCTGCTGGTCTAGCACGCCCGCGCTGGCCTTGCGTAGCTCCGAGGCCAGCGCCGCGAAGAAGATGCTGTAGATGGCGCCCGAGGTGCCGTCCATGTTGTCCTCGATGACGTTTGTGAGGTCGATGGCCGTGCGGACGGCGTCGTCGCTGACGGAGGATAACTCGGCGTACTTTTGGACGGCTTTTGCGCCGCGGGCGAGGGTCACACCGCAGTCGCCGTCGCCTACTTGGGTGTCGTGGGCTGTGATTTGGGGTTCGGCGTCGTTGATTCTCTTTGCGGCCTCGGAAACGACCTTTTTGAAGGTTTCTACGTTGACTAAATGGGGGAAGCAACTCTGGTCAGCAAACGAGGCTCTTCAGGTGCAATCCCGAGGGTTTGAGACTTACGTTGCACGCCGCTCTTGGTAGCATCCTCAGAATCGTGTCCTGAGTCGCTGCTCTCAACAAGACGCTGCTTCACATCTCCGCTGGTCTCATCACGTGGCGAGTATGCCCAGCCGATGGCATTTGTGCTGGCGTCGATGTGCTTCAGAATCTCGGGGTTGGCTTTGAGCAGAGTGATGCTGAAGCCAGGTCCGTTCAGACTCGTCATGTAAGTGCCAGAAATGACGCGGGCAAGCTTAATTCCTCGGCCAGCTGCATATTGTTAGTATGGCATTCGAAGGCTGTTCAATCGCCTTCTTTCTGATGGCTTTAACTTACTCAGAGCATTTGTGACCTTCGCCGTGATGCCACCAAATTCAAGCGGCGAGACACCACCCAGGTTATTAACCAGAAGAACGACGTCCTTGGCGTCAGAGAAGTCGACGTATGCCCTATCCGAATCATTGGTATCGAGAAGCTGTGTAAGCATGGAATCAATGAGCTGAGAAAGCTGCGGCCGAGGCTTCAACACCTGGCATCCAGGCTCGTTATGAATACCCATGCCCAACTCAACCTGGTCCTCAGTCGATGCAGCAGCAGCCTCACGACCAGGGATATGAACATGCTCCAACGACGCGCCAACAGTCACCAAGCTCTCCGTCACCGTCTTGCCCAACTTAACCACATCCGCCAGCGACGCGCCCGTCTCCTTGTACGCTCCCAAGATCTTGTGTACGAGAATGGTGCCAGCCAACCCGCGCCGCCCGACCTTGCCACTCTTCTTGCGGCCAACGGAGACGTCGTCGCCCACAATTAGAACCTCGACAGGCACGCCGAGCTGAGCTTTGGCCTTCTCGGCGGCGAGATGGAAGTGAAAGACGTCGCCGGTGTAGTTCTTGATGATGAGAAGAACGCCGGCGGGGCTAGCTACGCGGCTGATACCTGAGAGGATCTGCGCGACGCTGGGTGAGGCGAAGATGGAGCCTGAGACAGCGGCCGTGAGCATGCCGTCGCCGACGAAGCCTGCGTGGGCGGGCTCGTGGCCTGCGCCGCCTCCGGAGAGGAGGGAGACGTGTTTGGGATCATTCTTTGTGAGCCAGAGTGCTGTTGATCTGAGGTTAGTCCTACCGCTTACTCTGTTTCTCAATGCTGGTAGTGACTATCTGGGAATAACGTCTCACTCACTCTTCTTTGACTTGTCCAAAGTCAGGCCAGCACTTTGCAGCACCAAACTCTCGAGGGCATCGAGAACAAGGTCCTCTGCTTCATCGTAGAAGTGTTTCGACATATTGACACAGGCTATAATTGGAGAATCCTTTCAAAATATTCACACGAAATCGTTTCAATCTTCCTTCAAACGTCTAAAAACTATCGTCTCATGGACATCTCTCATAATAAACGTCCCTCTTTACCCCGCCATAGGAAACACCCTCACGCAGAATCGTCCGACACCCCGCGTCTCCCCCGCGTGTTCCTCCCCTTGGCAGTCCTCCTCCGAGTCTCTCCAAGGGCTCAAAACCCATGTAATTCCCGTCAGTCGGATATACTACAATCCCGTCACGAAGCAAACAAGGTAACGATGGAAACGACGGACATCCCACCGGCCGGCAGCCTCTCACCGGAGAAGTGGTCCGTGCATCCCGGGCTGTTTGCCGTTGATGCTTTTCCGTATCCCCTCACCTTGTGTAAGTGGCTTTTCCGTCCCGGTTGTCTCGGCACGCCCAACTTGTGACCTTGCCGCTGCACTGGCTAGGCCACTGAGATGGTAAGGTAACGGATGGCTGCGTCTGCGGTTCTCGCCACTATGAGGGGTGGGAAAAGGGACCAGAATATGGAAGAACGGGAATACGGTCATACGGTAGTAGGAAAAAGAAGGCTGGAATGGAGGGTACGGTGGGCGATCGAGCTCAGTGGACGGACGGAACTGCTAGAGAAGAGAAACCCGGCCTGTTCATGCATGGATATCTGGTTGCGGGTGTGGTCTAGACGGGACTAGTTTGGATGAAAGGATGATTAAGATGATAGGCTTTCCAGATCTTTTCTAAAAGAACATCTCATATCACTGCTTACTGGCGGATGAATTAATCAACTACTTGTCTTGACATCTGGGAATGATTCTATTAAGCGGTGTACTCGCTCAAAGTCAAGCTTCCTTCGTCCTTTTTTCCACACATCTTTGATAACCTCACTCGTTGCTTATACCCATCCATTACCACCGCCCAAATCGTGGCGTCCTCTTCAACATGGCTATCCACACGGAAGGCGTGATTCCGCGGTCAATCCTTACGTCAGAGAAGCCCACTGTCGAGATCGTGGAGACTGTCAAGCCTATTGAGCTCAAGACCGTCACCGACTTGCTTCTGAAGCGCGTGGACGAGGCACCAGATGTCGATGTCTTGGCCTACCCCGCTACGGCGCGCGGCAGAGACGACTATGTCAACTACACGGCCAAGGACCTCGATCGCTTCGCCGACGAGGCTGCGCGCAAGTATGCCCAGGCCGGTCTTCTTCCAGAGGTATGTACCATAGCTCACCGAGGCACCCCTCTCATCGAGCAACCTCCTAGTCGATGTAGAGGAACACGCCGACTTACAACGACCAGAACCCTTCATCAAACCAAGCAGAGGTTGTTGCCCTCCTAGCAAACTCGGACATCAACTATGTCGTCTCCATGTTCGCCCTCTCGAGAATGGGCTTCGCCGTGCTCTACCTCTCAACACGTCTCTCCCCAGAGGCCTACGCCAACCTCCTCAAGAAGACAAGCTGCAGTAGAATCGTCATCTCAGAGCGGTACAGCGACATGGCGGCCCAGATCAACGCTGAGTCACCCATCACCACGTTCAGCATCCTCGACAAGGCCGACTACGACCTCCCGAGCCCCTCAGGCGACCGCTTCCCCGTCTTTACGCATCCCGACGCAGGCAAGCGCATCTCCTTCATCGTGCACTCGTCTGGGTCGACCGGTCTGCCCAAGCCCATCTTCCAGACGCACGCGGCGTGTATCTCCAACTACTCCAGCGGCATTCCCTACCGCGCGTTCTTGACGCTGCCACTTTTCCACAACCACGGAATCTCGACCCTGTTCCGTGCCATTGTTGCTGGTCACAGAATCGCCATCTATAACGCCAACTTGCCCCTTTCGGGAACCACGCTGGTTAAGGCCATGAACGCCACGGAGCCTGGCAGTTTGCACTGCGTGCCCTATGCTCTTAAGCTTCTTGCGGAGACAGAGGGAGGTATCGAGGCGCTACAGAGACTCAAGCTTGTGCTGTACGGTGGCAGTAGTTGCCCCGATGACTTGGGTGATCGACTCGTTGAGGCGGGCGTGTACCTCGTCGGGCACTATGGAGCGTGAGTTATCTCCACTCCCGGTCAGCCTGAATCTTACTGACTTTGACACAGTACCGAGATGGGCCAGCTCATGACCTCGTTCCGTGAGCCTGGGGACAAGTACTGGAACTACATGCGGCCCTTGGCATCAGCCAAGCCGTGGCTGCGCATGATTCCCATCGCAGGCGACGTCCATGAGTGCGTCGTTCTCGACGGTCTTCCCTCAAAAGTCATGTCCAACTCGGACGACCCGGCTCCCAACTCCTACCGCACCCGCGATACCTTTGTTCCCCATCCCACGATCCCAGACGCCTGGAGGTACCTCGGCCGTCTTGACGACCGTGTAACCTTGGTGAATGGCGAGAAAGTCCTGCCCATCCCCTACGAGAACCACATTCGTGAGCATGAACTGGTCCAAGAAGTCGTCGTCTTCGGCGTCGACAAATCCATCCCCGGTCTCGTTATCATCCCCAGCGAGAACGCAAAGGATCTCTCAAAGGCCGACATTCTTAAGACCCTAAGCCCTGTCATCGAAGAAGCCAACGCCCGTGCCGAGGCCTTTGGCCGCGTCTCGCCAGAGATGATTGAAGTGGTAGACATTGGCACAGAGTACCCCCGCACCGACAAGGGCACCGTCATCCGCGCCGCCTTCTACAAGCAGTTCGCAGACCTCATCGAAGACGTCTACAGGCGCTTCGAGGCGCCCAAAGACGACGTCGCCGGTGGCGAGCTCCTGACTCTCGACCTGCCCCAACTCCAAGACTACCTCCTCAACCTCTTCCGCTCGACGCTGGGCTTCTCCAAGGTCGAAAAGGATACCGACTTCTTCGAGGCCGGCGTTGACAGTCTCCAGGCCAGCACCGCGCGCGGCCACATCCAGCGCGGCGTCGACCTCGGCGGCAAGACTCTAGGCCAGAACGTCGTCTTTGAGTACCCCAACGTCCTCTCCTTGTCCAAGCACGTCTACGCCCTCCGCACGGGCGAATCTGTCGACGCCGAGGACGAGATCGAAGTGATGAAGAAGCTCATCGCAAAGTACTCTGACTTCTCCGAGCGCACGCCGGGCAACATCACCCCGGAAGGCGAAACCGTCGTCCTCACAGGCGCAACGGGCTCCCTCGGCGCACATCTTCTCGCCCAAGTCGTCCGCCAACCCTACGTGAAAGCAGTCTACTGCCTCGCGCGCGCCGACTCGCCAGAGGAAGCCGAGTCCCGCGTCCTCGCCTCCCTGACACCCAAGGGCCTCAGCCTCTCTGAAGTAGACAAGGCGAAAGTGCGCTACCTGCCGACGAATCTCGGCCTCCCGGACCTAGGCCTCCCCGCGGATGCCGCCGCCGAGCTCCGCAGGTCCCTGACGACGGTGATCCACTCGGCCTGGGCCGTCAACTTCAACCTCGGCGTCGCGAGTTTCGAGGCGCAGCACATTCGCGGCGTGCACAACCTGCTCAACTTCTGCCTCAGCACTGAAACGGTCGCGCCCGCAAGGTTGTTCTTCTGCTCGTCCATCTCGGCGGCGGCCGGCACGCCTATCCCCGCGAGAGTGAAGGAGACGTACGTTGAGAACCTGGAACACGCGCAGAACATGGGTTATGCCCGGTCCAAGGTCGTCACAGAGCACATTGTCAAGGCTGCGGCGACCAAGACGGGTATGACGGCGAGGGTTCTGAGATTGGGTCAGATTGTGGGCGACTCCGAGGGCGGCGTGTGGAATCAGACGGAGGCTATTCCGTTGATGATTCGCAGTGCAAAGGTTATCAAGGCGTTGCCTGCCCTGGAAGAGGTAAGCTTTCCCTCCACTAGATGACGAGAGATCATGAGAAGTGAACCAAGTGCTAACCAAGAATCTCTCACAGACCCCCTCATGGATGCCAGCAGATAAGATGGCCCTCGCCGTCCTCGAACTCGCACGCCTCACCGGCCCACGCTGCACATCCTGCGGCGCACCACCCTCTTCCCCCGACGACGCGGACCTGGACCTCGTCTACCAGGTCCAGAACCCGCACCTGTTCCACTGGACCTTCGACTTCCTGCGCGCCCTCCGCGACGCGGGGCTGGAGTTCCAGATCGTCTCGCAGCGCGAGTGGGTGCGCCGTCTGCGCGAGTCCGACCCGGACCCGGAGCGGAACCCGACGTACAAGTTGCTGGGATTTTTTGAGGACAAGTACGACAATGACAGACCCGGTCGTCAGGGACTCGTGTTTGAGACGGAGCGGACGGGCCAGAGGAGCGCTGCTGTCGGGGACGGGTGGGATGTTGTTGGGAGCGGGCTTGTTGAGAGGATGGTTAGGTGGATGGAGACGCAGTGGTGAGTTGGAAAGGGTGATATACCATGTGTGGACTCATTATTGGCGTTTGGCATTTGTAATAAGGCTTTTGAATTGTATGCTGTTGTCTGGATATCATGACCATAAGAGAAATTGAGCTACATACATCTCGATCAAATTTGCCCGCCGAAATGTTAGCACGATTCTGGTTTTCTATGTCATTACAGATCTTACAGTGAGGAGTTAATTCAGTTCAGGCATGGGAAGAGTTCAACATTGCAAACCTTACCCCAAGGAGATGGTCAGGAACGTTGGTGTTGGAGCAGTGAGTTCTCGAGGCCAGCCTATGCAGTAAGACACCTTCTCATAAGCGCTACAATCACAGTGATCCTCTTTCGCAGGAAGGTCTTGGAACGGATTCCCAGCCATGGTGCGCCACGAAGAGCGGTAAGGCGCATGCTACCTGAGGGATTCGGACATCCGAAAGCCACATCACCAACCTCGAAAGATTCAAAGGTCGTCTCCAATCCCCATCTTCCTCTTGACTTTCTCTCTCACGCAGCGATTCACGTATAGTCAATATTAGATATCGCAAGATCGAGAAGCCATGCATATACCTAGACTCGTAGCCCTGGGCGCAGCCCTTACGACAGCGGTCAAAGCCTTCACCCCGCTCAACATCACGGCGCTCTCAACCCGCGACGGCTACTCCGTCATCGAATGCTGGCAACTCACGTCCGTCCCCGTTGAAGCCCGCGCGGCTCTCAACTACGCCGTCGGCGGCGACCTGACGCGCGCAGAGTGGTCCATCATACAGCCCAGGACGACGGTCGGAGAGGCCTGGGCGCCGGCTGTGCAGTGAGTGTTTTTCTTTCATTCCATGCCCCCCTCTCTCTCTGTGTAAATGAGAGGGATTTCCTTGTTCATGAGACGACCGAGCTTCATTCGCATGTCTTTGTTTTTGTTGAGCTGTTCTTCGAAACTTGATGGACAGGGAACAGGGAAGACTCGAACAGTGCAACCTGACGTCGACTTTCCTCGCTATCGAAACCTCAAGACTGACTTGATCCCCGTCATCTCCAGGCTGACAGTCATCCTCAACGGCCTAATCCGCATCACATCGCCAGCACCGGCAAGGAACGCGTCGCAGGCCACGCCGTCGCCCTCGTCACCAGGAGGCAGCAGTGGCGACGAAGCATCGGAAGCACGTCCGGCGCAGACGACGGCGTACATCCAGCCGGGCACGGTATCCTCGTCGCTCGTCATCGCGGCGGACTTGAAGAACGCGAGCGTGCACGCGGGGCACTTCACCGAGTTCCCCGGCGACGAGCCGACGGTGCTGGTGCAGGTGCCGTTTGCCGGGGACGCGGCGCCGGAGCATGCTGTTCTGGGAGAGGGGCCGTGTCAGAAGGGGAGTTGGGGCGCTGCGATGGGCGGTGGCATCTGACCGATGACTACATGTATAGAAAGAAAGACTTGTCTTTTGCTTGTGATGATGGCGTTCACTCGTGTCGTAGAATACTAGCACTACCTATGACCGTGTATGCAGCTTATGATCCGTCCCGAGGCCTTTTCGGACCAGCGGCACGCCTTCTTGAGATGACTGCCTTAGAGCGGAAGAAGTGAGCGCTATCTCAAGGAACAATGTCATGGCGCGAGAATTAGAGGCTCACGTTGGCCGACAATGAGACTGGGACTGGGACAGGTACGCAGAGGATGTGCAGGAAAACGTAATGGCTCAGGAAGCATGATTTTGGCCTGAGTCTAATAATGGGCACACGAGTGAGGCGGCAGGGAAGGGAAGCTCGGATTTGAACTGATTTAGGCTCACGGCTTTTGGGTCTTAGCCTTTGGTGCCTTGGTGCTTTACTTGGATCGCCGCTTGGTCGTGTTCGTGGACCGTGTGAGTGATGCATTAACGATGGCAAAAAAGTCATCCGAATTTCCCAAGTCTACAGACGACGGCGCGGCCGTTCAGTACGTGTGCTCACTTCACTCGGAATTGCGATCGACTTGGCATGCCGGGACATCCGCTGTTGGTAAAAAGAGCGTACGACACGTTGACATGAACTTAGAGATGAATCCTTCGGATAAGGAGATTCATCATTTGTTTGCGTCACGTTTTGTCCCTTCATCGGTCTTGTTTGGAGCACTTTGGCAGTTTGACTGCCAGATATGGGATCAATCGATCATAGTGCAAGAGTGATGGCGCGGACAGGTGATTTCGTGAAGGTCTTTTGCCTCGGGGACTGGATACAACGGCACGGCTGAGACAACAGCAATGGCCGAGGTCCCTTTCTGCGTCGCAAAGTTCGAACACAGTCTTCGTACTCTTGTGCTGCTGCGGTGTGACGAGGACTGGCGGCCAGGCCGTGAATCTGTGCGACTGTGCCATTCAGGGTCGACCGTCGAAGACAGAGGGACACAGCGCGAACATTCTCTGTCTTTTCCGCACGTCCAACAGAGAACGCGTGGATGGCCGAAGAGCAGACGGAATCACGAAGTGACAGAAATCAAATGCCCAGGCGGCAGCACCAGAACCTCGGGATGTGACAGTTACGTGACACACGCCTCGCAGGCTGTATCCGTAGCCTCCGACAATCTCGCAGCACGGCACGCACGGGTGATCTCGTGGCATGTTTGGCGTGGTAGCGCAGACTCACTGAAGCATTTCGGTAGGGTAACATTGGTGGTCAGCAACCAGAAACGAATTCGATATTCACAGTATAGCCTGTATAGGCAGATCTCGGCAGTGTACGGGAAAGGGAGGGCCCTAAAATTCCACGATTTGCTCATCTATCCGCACTTTATCCTTCTCTTTCCCGCCCCGCACGGGGAGGATAGGGTGCTGACAGCGATCATCCTGGTAGTGGTCCACGGGCGTGCTCGAAGAGGCATGCGGACCCGGCTGAGAGAGCCTTGGAGGGGTGGGATCGGGAGGGGGAGGGGAAAGATTGATCTCATCGGCGGGGGTCGGATGGGGGTCAGATAGGTCGAGTAGGGCAGACTTCGGACTCTGGAGTCTGCTGGAAGCAGTAGGGCCAGTTCCTCTGGAATGTGGAAAAAGCAACTCAACACGGGAGGCATCTCGGCAGCCTGTGATAATGGCGTCGACAATGTCTCTTTGCAGTGCGCTGGTGACACGCAGCCTTGGCAGCCACATGCTGTTGGTAATAGTTTGCATCGCCAGAACACACAGCAGCAGCACAGTAGTTAGTGGCAGGCTCAGCAGCAGAAGGATTCACGACAGCCAGTCGGAAATAGAACGCATGTCTCAAGACGGCAGGGCCAGGCGGCTGCGAAGTTCTGGCTGGCCCGGCCTGGTTCGCACAAGGCCGTTCAAGCCCAGTCTGGCCAGTCCAGTCCCAGTCGCAGTGAGCGTGACCTCGTGGTCTCGAGGATCATTGCCAGTTCTGGGACTGGTGGCTTCGTGAAGGAAGTGACTGAAGTCTGGGTGGGTGTGTATGGTCGATCGTAGGTGGCTGCGGTCCCGCGCTGGCGAATCCGTACGGAATTGGAGGGTCGGACGAAGAACGGAATCCAACGACCTGATCCAGATTGTAGGTTTGGATTTCCCCGGGTGATGATTGGTGTCGACGGGACCGTTTGGAAACTTTGCAGTTGTTTAATAAGGTTGGTCGGCATGGATATAGCTTCAACGTGCGGTGGCTGAGCAAAGCTGCGTGGGTTCACGGAGGACTCATGCGATCCTCTCATTCGCATTATTGAGGCTGGCCTGAAAGCTTCGCCCTTGTGTGAAGTATCTCTAGTAAGCATTTAGTGCCTAGAAAGATGAGGATGAGTGCCTGTCGTATCTCAGGCGCGCGAGATAGACGGCAATCTACCCATCCATCCATCCATCGATAATGAGATGGGATGGATGGATGGATTCATGTACGCGAGAAGCGAATCGCTGCCCACGGGGTCGGGTATGTACGATGACCGGTGGGTGACCTCCTCCTGGGTCGGCACGTCAGGTCGCAGCAGGCGCATACATATAGGTTGACGCGGTAGGCGATGATTGGGCCGGTGTGAATCAGGGACGATGCGACGGCGTCCAATCCAAAGGTCAATTGACTCCTGGAGTGGTGTGGTAGCAGAAGCCAAAGATGCGTGTGAGTGATGTATGAGGGTGTGAGGATGAGTCTGACATGTGAAAAGGAGATCAGGGACTGCCTGTCTCACTCTCAACCACTGAAGCACAGAGCAGAGCTATCAACTGCGCCGCGAATGACAAGGCCGCTGAATCCTGCAACGGAAATAGCACCCCCGTCCAATAATGTGAGGCTTGGGTAACGTGGTGATGGTCCTCTCGTCCGTCAAGAGAGGCGCTCCAGGGTCGAGATCAAGCTGGGAATGAACGACACTTGTGCTAGCTACCGTAGTCTCACACCAGATTTGCCTCTGCAGCTGTTGCGCATTCACTCATGTGACTATTTCCTTGACATTGATGTTCCCCTCTGTATGGTTCTGAGCAATGCGCATGTTGTTTTGGCTTGTGATACGTGATCCTCGCGATACCACCTTGTCGTCTCGTGAAGGCTACATAGTACCAGAGTAAGAGGTGCTTATATTGCCTTTTACGGAGAGACGCATGATGATTGGGGTGGATGAATGACAATCCTCATAATTCATTCGTTCATGCTCACTGGCATCGGACTCACTCACTTTCATTAAGCATTTAGCATTACAACCTTTTACCAAAGAGACCAGCCCTAATCAAGCCCTCCTTCGCAGGAGATTTCGCAATATTCTGCCCCTCCTTCACGAAAATCCCCAGGAAAGCAGAGCCAGCCCAAAAGGAGGGGTGAAGGCGCAACACAGTGACACACACGCACAACGTTCGACTCATTCTTCCACTCCGCACGCACACCACTTGCTCCGCCAAACTCCATGCCTGGACCTTGCCCGGCGCTCTAGCGACATCGGCGGTTGCGCGGGAAGAATCCCAGTGAGGGGCCGCCGTGGGAACTCTAGACTTTCTTGACATGGGGGAGAACCTTGCCGCCCTGCACGACCAGCCCACAGCGTCTCGCCTTGACTCTCTTTTTCAATCGTCCTTGGCCGTGAATGCACGCTCAGCCAACCCGCTCAGCCAACCCACTCAAAGCCAAGGGAGAGTCAAAACGTCGTACTTGTCACTGTCAAGAGTGAACGAAGCTAGCGGGTGGACCGAAACGTCGGAAGAAACGAAGCGAGACGGCTCGCTGGTTTGATTAATACAAACAAAACATCGATAGTCGCGCCAGCCGAGGACTGACGCCCAGCTTTTTCAGCTCTCGGCTCTTTCATTGTTCAGTAACAGCGTTCCTCGAAGAAAAAGAGCCGAACCTCATGCCGGCCGGGAGTGCCTCGTTCTCAGGTAGAGAAAGGGTACGGTATGCTCACTGACGTGACTTGACGAGATTCAAGGCCCGCCATCCCGTTCCCGCCCGTCAATTCACGCAGCAGACCGAAGCTAGAGAAGCATCGCCGCTGTCCTACTGTGTTAGTCGCCGCGGCTTAAACTCTCGGGCTGCTCTCCGGCCGTCTTAAGCTCTCAGGTCGTCTCTTCAATAGTGTGAATGAGCTAGCCCTCATTCCATCTCCACGAGCCGTCGAACAGCGCATCAAAGGTGGGGAGATATCAACACCACGCCGCCGGGCCATCCTCGTCTCGAAATGGAGGCTTTTCCGTCAGGCCTTTGAATGCCCTCTTTCAATCACACACACAAACACGCGTTCAGCACACATTCTTTCAGTGACTACAGTTCTCATCTCGTCTTCAGTTACTCCTTCTCCCGCATCGTTCATTCCCCTCAATCTTCTCATATCGATTCTCAACTCTGCCCATCTCATCCCACACGCGGCCACTCGTGCGTCACCGCTACTCCGACTGGGAGAGGCTTGGGAGGATTTAAGCCCCCTCCTCGGACGTTGTCGAGCTTTTCCTGCAACAACATCAGCGCTTTACGCAATTCAGGTCCTACAACCCTTCCCCTGTGCCAGGGACCCATCCCGCGATCCGCCGCCTCGCATGTGCAGTCTCTCACTTGCACGCAACCACGCGCATAAAGCCCATCATAGGTACATAGCAAAACACACAATAATTGAGGGCCGATTCTGCGGTCCTGGACTGTTCCTCTTACGGATAAAGGCCGAGTAGAGTCCAGAAAAGGGTACGCTACACACTACACGAACCATGACACACAAGCACACACCAGACGCCCCTCTCAGCCTCTGTTAGTCTTCTCTCCTTTCACCCTAAAAGAACGTTAGCTGCATGAACAGAGAGGCGCCGCAACGCAACTTGAGACGACAACGTGAAAGATCAACGCGAATCCTCTGTCCGTAAAGCGCAACGCCTCCCGCCAGCAGCGGGCGAGAGGGCAAAATTCACCACCACCTGCATGCTGGAAGTGGATATTCTGTGCCTCTGCAAGTCTCTTGTGTTACTGTTTTGCTTCCCAAGTGCCCACTCACTGTGACTCGCCTCCCCCATCTTTATCATCTCCACCGTGCTGCGTCAAGAAGCCTGGCGGGCAACACGACGCCCAGAGGTTCTAGACTCGACTCGACTCCAGTCCGTCGCCGGTGGCTCGCCTTTAACGCTGCTTCTTCTAAACTGTCCAAGTTAGCACTTAGGTACCGCTCTCTCTCATCTCATCCCAAAGATGCGGTTTTTATCGCTGGGATTATCTTTTAGCGTGTAGCGCATCGCCGGGCGACTACATCATCGTCTCAAGTTTCGAAACTCTGCGACACGAAAGGGCCTTTTCCCTTTTCCCTTCCTGTCCTTTGGCCTCTGCCCCTCCCCCTCTTCTCTGCAGTTGGCGTACAGGCTTTTACCCTCCTCGGTTTTCTCCCGCTCTCTTGTCGAAGGACAAACCTGCGTCTGGAAGAAAAGGTCGATCGGGACCTGGTGCCGGTAAAAACTGTGCAAAGGCGCTGCAGAATCAAACTTCTTCGGCCGCTGTTCACTTCTAATTCCCGATATATCACCGCGCCACTTTATTTCTGCTCGTTCATCTTCGATCCGTGTTTCCCTGCCCAGTCGACTCACGCAACTTGTCTCTTACACTTGTGCGCTCTTGAGACATGCATATTGAGACAGCCTTGGGACCTCGGAATCTAGAACTTGGAGCTTCTTGACATCGGCGGCTTGTCGTCTCATCAATAAGTTACAACCGCCCTTCGCCCACCTGGCCACTTGCTGCACCTGCAGCCTGTCTACTACCCCCCTCCCGTCCCGCAGCAGCACACGACTTTGGACTTCACACCCCCCCTCCTCGTCTGATCTTCTGGCCGCCGGCTTGTCCTGCTGCTCTTCAGACCGTTCAGTCAGGACTCAGTAGTGTCCCGTACGCGGTCTCTGCCATTACCTCCCTCTCTTTCTCTCTGCCCCGTTGATCCCAGTACGGCTACTTGTCGCCCTATAAACCTTCCCAGCCATCTACAAGAATTACATCCCTCACCCCTTCCAACCCGTCTCCGCCGCCAGGCCCAGCACACATTTTCCGACCTTGACAAGACGGGAAAGACATTGGCATTGTTCAATCGTCGCAGTGGGCTTCCCGCATAAACCAACCTTTAACAACAAGCACCACCCCTAACCCACCGACGCCAACGAGAAAGACAAAAAAGCCAATCCGTACCGGGGGATAACCTCGCAGCTCATCCCGGCAGGCATAGCAGCAGCCACATCATCAACCCACGCATAAACGGCGATCAACCCAACCAAACACATCCAAGCTTCTCTCTCGAGGCGGTGTCTGTACCTACATATTCCCAACCTACGCCCGTCCTCCACCGTTTGTCTCTCTCCGGACGACCCCCCCTTCTGCCGTCACCCCACGCTGCAAAGTCCTGGCGGGCAACGAAGAAGAAAGAATATCAACAACAGTCTCATTATCAGAAGCAAGACTGAGAAGTGAGAGAGAGAGAGGGCTTTGGTCAAACCAGCAGCTGCCCACGCCGCCCGCCTCCATACACTCCATCGATCGATACATCCCACATCCCCCTCCATTCCTCAGCAAGACATCCCAGGTCCCAGCTGCAGCACCACGAGACCCCATCGGCGCCTCACCGCAACATCCTGACCCAATCACGGCCCTCTAGCCCGCCCACGACGACAACTCCCCCTGCCACCCTCGACCGGGGTCTATCAAACCCAGCAGCACCAGGACCTCACGATCACCACACAAAATAGGCCCTGTACCCGTTCTCGATTCGCAATAGTTGCATCGTCCACTTCTGGCCCTGTAAGGACCTGCATCTCCCGCCTTTCAAAACAACAACACTTTCCTTCTGCTCCTGTACTGCGTAACCAAAAAGGGTCACGAACAGGGGGCCTTCCACGAGACGAACTGTCGAACCAGTACGCCAACGAGTCCACTCCGACACTTTTGTCGTCAGATCAACAGGAACCTAGAAACGGGGGACCCTCATCGGAGGGGTCTAGGTTTTTTTTCTCTCCTTTCGTTTATTGACCGCAACTTCACACACAATCGAACGCTCCGTTCAAATCTCGTACCTCATCTCCGCCTTTTTCTCTCATCATCTCGTCAACTGGGGTTTATTTAATACAATAAACATCCTCCCCTCCCCCTTCCCCAGTGTCCCTGGGAGGCCTTTTCCGCAAGCGAGATTCATCCCCTCGACTCGGACGTCTTTACCTTCGCAGCTCGAAGCTTGGTTCCTAAAAGCTCGCTGGTCGGCATCGCGTTTCTTCCAACTCGTCACAGAAGTACAATAAGCGCAACCACCTCCGCTATCGCGTCTCTTCCTTCGCCTGTGCTCGATCAAGTGAGGAGGGAAATCATCCAATGGCTTCATGACGAGGAATTCACTTTCTATCGTTCCGAGTTCTATTATACAAAAAAACACCATATACACCTTTAGACACAAACCATTTTCAACCCCAGCCTGAAGCTTTCGTGAGAGAGTATCTACCCGTTGGACTCTTCTCACCGGCAAAACGCACAAACGCACACCAACACATATTCACACATTGATAACGACACAAAAACCACAAAACAATGTCTCGCCTCTCGCCCTTCCCATCCAACATGACCTTTCGGACCGAATCCCGCGCAAGCGTCGCCGCCTCCGACACGACGTACTACACCTGCGCCTACCAAAGCTTCCACGACGTAGAGCTCTACGCCCCGAGCTCCCCGCCCTCAAAGACCCCCGTCCCCGCCCCGACCTCGGCCCCGATCCGAGCCCCGGTACCGGCCCCCTCACACTACCACCACTTCCCATCACCGCATCCGCAACACCACAAGGACAAGGAACCCGAACCCGCCGAGATGCGCCGTCAAGACTCGGGCTACGAGTCTCTGCCCCCGCGGTCCTCCTTCTCCAACCCCCGCCGCACATCAACGGCCTCATCCTCCCAGTCCTCCTCCACGGCCGCCGCTGTCCCCCGCTCCCGTGGCCGCCCGACGGTCCGCCGCGCAGCAAAGACGAGCCCGTACCCGGCGACAACGGCACGCACCAGCGGAAGCAGCCTCTACCACCCGCAACAACGCCCACACGCCCAACCCCAAGCAACCTTCTTCCACTTCCCAGCGCACCCAACAGACGTCGAACTCGCCGCCCGTCGGCCCTCGCGCCGCGGTGACGACCTCGAGCTCGATCAGCGCCAGCTCCTTCTCTCCTCGCCCGGCAGCCACTCCCATCCCCAACATCAGCGGGACAGCCAGGAATGCACCGAACTCGCGCCCCCGCTGCCGCCGCAGGCGACGCACTACTGGACCAGCGACCGCACGCGGAGGCTCGAGTACGCCGCTATCGATGCCGCGAGGACTGGCGTCAAGGGGTGGATGAAGAGGCACCTCGTGCCGGACTGCTTTGTGCCCAAGGAGAAGCACGTTGCGTTCGACGACGACACCGGGAGTGTGCGACGGTATAGGCTTGAGCTTGATGAGGATATGCCGTGCGAGAAGGGGTGCGGTGGGCGGAAGAGGGGTTGGTTTGGATGGACTCGCTCCAAGACGGCTTGAGTCTTTTCTTCACACCTTCACACTCTTCTTGCTTGATTTTTACGTTGTTTTCCCTTTTGGTCTTTGATGCCGGTGTTGAACATCTGGGGTTTTGATTTCGGAATCATGGATTGGAAAGGGGATGGGAATTGCATTGACATCATTGAGTCGGCGCGGCATTTGCACAAGCGGCTGGGCAAGGCTGCATTGGCGTTTTATACCCAGCATTTGGTATCGTTGGATTCTTCATCATACTTTTGTTTCGTTCTTTTCTTTATTGCATAATCTTGTTTTTAATGTTTTATTGTTGTGGTTGTCAAGATTTCCTTGAACACGAGGGATGAAGACACAGAGAGAGTTGAAGTTCGAGTATCAGAATGGCATAGCGACACATAGATGATAGACGATGACACGAGACTTGAAAGATTGAAGAGAAGCGAGTCAGAGAAACAAACGTCTTTTTGAGGACTACAGTTACTCGTATACAGACTGATAGTTATTTACACATGTAGTCTCCAAGAGATTCAATTATATATCCATATACATGCCTACATCATATCATACATGCACTTTTTGACAATGTCATCGACTGTGACCGTTACTAATCATATTTACCCGTGGATAGGTGAGGCTTTTTTCATCTGATATTCCCATCAAACTGCCATCTGATGTTGTGGCAGATAGTGTCAACGTCTTCCAGCCTACTGCAACACCACTAAATCTCTGCATACACCGCTAGTCTCCGAGACCCGTTTGCAAAAAGCCTACATGAGCCTATGTTTCTGCACACTCGAAAAGCCCGGTGTCCTCCCGCCCGTCCGGATCCGGAACACATTAGGCGGACCGGACCGGACAAGCCGCCATTCCGGGCGAAAGAAGCGGTGAAGAATTGAGTTATCACGACCCGCTTTGGGGGCTTCGCTAGGAATCTTGCGGTTCTTCCCCGGGGTCGGGGGTCAGTAGTAATAGGGGCTAGCCGAGATTCATTCCAGTCCTTGCTTGCTGAAATGGTGACTCCGGTGATGACCGGAGCCGACTAAGTAGGGGTCCTGTAGACACGGCATCCGACCTCAGGCTTGAGAACACAGAGGCTGGCGGTGTTGCTGATACACATTATGCGTGAGGCTGAAGTCAACCACCTCTTGTCTCCCGTCGATCTTCAATAGTGTCACATTAAGTTGCCATCTACTGGTCAATCTCTCGCTGACCTGCTACATCAACGACCTCACCGCCTCTCCCAGCCACATCAGTCCTGCCAGAGAGCATCGCAGTCGCAACGCCAATCCTTCTCGCGCGGACACACAACGACTACTGAAACTTCCGATCTCATCCCGAGATTCGACCCTCAAGCTCAAGATAGCCCCACCTCGCGGCCTTGACGCACTCAATCACGGCAAGGTGCCGCCACGGTCCCTGACCCGTTGACACGCTCTTGATCGCGAGGCCCGCCCTCCCGAGGATGTCAGTCCAGCACTCGATCGATCTCTGCTTGCCGCCAAAAGTGAGCATCATGAAGTCGAGCATCGTGGAGGTGTAGTGCGGCGGGTTCCCCATCACGTCCTCCTGGATCAGGAGCCGGCTGTCCTCCGCCATGGCCTCGGCGATGATGCGGAGCATGTTGACGCTCAGCTCGTCGCCGTAGTTGTGTAGACACCGGCGGATCCAGTAGGTCAAGGCACCTTGAAGTCATGATATGGTCAGCTACCAGCCGGAAACTCCTTGCGATGTAAAAACAAGTGCATCTGGCTTCACCAAGTGGTGAACAAGTGAAGTCTCGAGAAGATATTATCTCACCTTTGACAGGCTGCTCCTTGTGGAAATCAATAACCTGCTTCTGCACCAACCTCATATCCTCATCATCAAGCTTCCTCACAGCCTCCACCACTTCAGCACGATCCTGCAACACACACCTCTCCAACGGAAGCCCAGGGTTCTCGCGATGAATCGCCTTGATAGACTGGCCCCGTCCCGCGCCGACATCGACAAACAGCGGCCGGTCACCCGCGTTCTCACGAGCGTACTCGACAACCCATCCAAAGTCGTAGATGCCCGAGATGGGCATCTTCTCCTCGATAGGGCCCATGGCACGGAGGAACCGCTGCATCCGCGGCGGGTCGTGCTGCAGCATCTCGTACCATCCGTACTCTGGCACACCGTATGCGTACGTGCCAGGGACGTTGTTAAGCGTCTGCGGCTCCTTGCGGCCGTACTTTTCAAAGTAGGCGGGCATGTGGACGTAGGGTACCAGGCCGTTTTCCCATCTGCACTAGGGTGTTAGTAAGGCATTTCGAGGGCAAGGATTGAGGGGCGGGAGGGAGAGAACAGACGCCATGCCGACGATTTGACCCGCTGGGTGACCGTCGATGTAGATGCGAGAGCGCTTTGTGTGCGCGACAGAGTCGTCCCCGACTTGTTGCAGGATGCCCATTGAAGTTAACACACCACCAGTACGTCCTGAACGAGTGTTAGCAGAAGATCCCCAATAGTTTGAGTTGGACCCCGGGGCAGTGCATTTCAAACTCACGTATCAGCGATACATCGGTGTCGACCTTCTTGGCCAGTTCACCGTACGAGATACTGCCTTCGGATGGGATGTGATCATAGACCTTCCATTCCCAAAAGAGCCGGTTCGCACCCAGTTGCGCGACCTGCGCCGTGGCATCAAACCACTCATCGCCGGGGTCCTTGACGGCATTGATCAGCTTATTCGCCGCGTCAATAATGCGCCGCCGTTGGCCCTTGTCCAAGTCACCTCCGGACGGTCCGGGACTCGTCACGAAGCTCTGGAGGGCCGCGTTGACTTCTTCCGTCGCTGCCGCGGCCTCCTCCCGGATCTGAGCGCTTATGTCGCCTGTCATTTTCGGTGTGGGACCCCGAAGCAAACAAAGTTCTACCGGGTCGCTGAACGGCGCGGATTCTGCACGGCCGTGTTACACGGGGAATGTGATTACGTTCCCTTTTTCGAACGAGGTATGTGGATTCTGCTGCAGGTTTGCCGATCAACGGTGTGATTGCATGGGAAGCAAGTCGACTACGCCGCACGGGAAACCGGGCACACGGGATTTGACAGGCGTCGCGTTGTTGGAGAATGTACGAGTACGGAATGTGGGTGAGATGGGATGATGAACTCTGCTGTCCAGTAACAACTCAAGCGCACATAAAGTTTCAGCGATGGATGTTGAGATCGGAGAGGGGAGCAATGACTTGAGGGGAGAGGGAAAAGCGCGCAAAAAAGAACCTTTGGTCCGCATTTCCCTCCTGATGCGCCTCAAGTTCCCAAGCTTCTCCTCACTTGATGCGGTGATGCTACGTCCAGGGATGGACGGTAGCTGGATGCGGCAGCTCGGTGTGGTGTCTCAACCCACGTCGGTGAAAACGTTCCGCGGTCGTCTAGTCCTACATGTTTCTGCATGAATTGGGGACACATTCCTCGAAGGATCGGAGGGGGTTCAGCCGGCTAGCCAATGGCGCAAACGCAGCTACTGTCGAGCTAAAGCAGCACAACCAGTCGAGCCCCAAGAAATTGAATGAAAGAGGTGGGGGGCCACAGACGTGGACTGACGGTCCGGCGGTTGGAAGACCTCATAACTTACAGAGGAGGGTGGGAGAAAGAGGAGAAAGAAGGGCCGCGTGCTTGAAAGAAACCCGGCCAAACAAGACGGAGAAACAGAGACATCTCGGAGCGCCACTGCATGACGGCAGAGCGTTCAGCTCTCTCACAGACACAATCGAGGAGTCTGCCGTGTCCAGCTATTCTGCTCGTGGCCCACGCTCCGGGAATAGTCTGGCGAAAAAAGGAATCCGCCTCTGTACTAACACTTCTAGACCGGGGCGCCGGTCTCCTACCAAACCCGGCTAAAGTTGTTCAGGACGTAGCTTGATAGGTCTGTTGAGCAAAGAGGATGGCGCAGGGGCATTGAGGTCGACTGAGCCGACATGCCACTTTGGTACGCAGACACAACTCAGAGGCCCAGACGTTTCCTTTTCGTCGAGCTGCTGCTGATGTGCCGCTGACAGACAAGAACAAAAGGTCCGAAGCCGTAGGGTAAGGAACGTAGAAAAAAGAAACAAACGAACCCCGAAACTCCGGTCTCAACGGCTTTCGTTGGGAGGCTTTTCCTGTCTTCCACTTTCTTCTTTTCCTTCGTCAGATGGTCATTCGACTTTGCTCATACCAGACTGGCTCGGTCCACGTTGTTCCCCCATAACCACTCTGCCTTTTCCCTACGTACAGGGTGCCGCTCCCAAGGACCCGTTTAAGGTTTCTGACAGAAAGACACTTATGTTCCTGGACCTGGTCAAAGACCCCAGCACGCGCTCCCCCTCTCCGTCTCATTCTTACGTTCGCGGATCTCCAATCCAACGTCCAGTTTGCGGCACATCCTGGCTAGGCACACGAGCCCTCACTTGAGAACACCAGGCGACGTCGATCGGAGACGGCGGTATCAATCGCTCCTCGGTGATAGAGTCGAGCAGGAACCGCGGGAAGGGAAACGGGACAGAATACGCCGCTCGTACGTCTTCTTCTCGAGCCTGGTTTGAGCCAGCATCGCACAAGTCATGGCGGACACCACCACAGCAAGAGCAGAGGCCGATCAGCCCGAAAAGTCGCCCTCACCTCCTCTGCCTCAATCGGGACACCGCTCGCGATCAGGATCGGGCGGACGGCAGACACCACCACAGCAGGACTTTGAAGCGGAGAACGTGGTCGAGGCCGACACGGAAGATGACGGCGCGTCGTCGCGGGCGGGAGACGAGGTCTGGGACGAAGGGTTCGACGGCAGCAGCATCGGCAACCACTCGGCCTCGACGTCGCTATCCAACAGCGTGCGCGACTACGTCTTTGAGAACACCCGGCGGTATCACAAGTACATGGAGGGCCGGTACCTGATGCCCAATGACGAGCCGGAGCAGGAGCGTGAGGATATGAAGCATGCCATGTGCGTCAATGTCATGGATGGAAAGCTTCATTGCGCGCCGTTGGAGAATCCGCAAAAGATTATTGATATTGGTACGGGGACGGGAATCTGGGCTATTGATAGTGAGTTCCTCTTCGCGTGATTGTCTCCTTTCACGTCTGCTATTTTGACAGTGTCATCATCACAGACATGATGGCATCTAGACGATTAGTCTGGACAATCTTTCACTGGACGAAATCGTTCGATGAGCAAATGACCTCTAGCAAGTACTGACAACATCTCAAGTGGGCGACGAGTACCCAGAAGCAGACATATCCGGCATCGACCTGAGCCCAATCCAACCAACCTGGGTACCCCCTAATGTCCGCTTCGTCGTTGACGACGCAGAGGCAGAATGGGTCTGGCCGCCCTCCTCCCTCGACTTCGTGCACGCGCGGCACATGTGCATGGCCGTCAAGAACTGGCCGCGTATGCTCTCCCAAGCCTTCACCGCGCTGAAGCCCGGCGGCTGGGTTGAGTTGCAGGAGCTGCGCTTCGTCCTGCAGTGCGACGACGGGACGATGCCCGGGCCCGAGGAGTACGGCTACGGCAAGTTTGTGGACCTCTGCATGTCCGGGTTCCGGAGCTTCGGCATCAACCCGCTGGCGATGGAGAGGAATTCGGAGATGCTCCGCGAGAACGGGTTCGAGAATGTTGTTGAAAAGGTGTGGAAGGTGCCCATCGGGACGTGGCCGCGAGACCAAAAGCTCAAGACGATTGGGCTGTATAACCGCAGCATGCTCATTGATGCGCTTCAGGCTGTGAGTATGGCGCCGTTGACGAGAGGGCTCAAATGGAGTCCTGCCGAGGTGGAAGTGTTCCTGATTGATGTGCGGAAGAGCCTGATGAATGTGTCGATACACTCGTATCTGACGTTCCATGTGGTGTTCGGACAGAAGCCTTATGATGGCTACTAGATATGAGAGGGATTTGGCGTTTGCTGGTATAGGAGTTTGGCAGTGGTTGCACCAATGTTGTAAAGAGTTGGGAGGAGGATTTCTCAGCCATCAACTTAGGATTCATTCGATTTTATCAGGGCCAAGATGTCCATGAACTATTAGCACCGAGTGCCACAGATACCTCATTACGTGGCAGACCACGATTCTCATATGCCCTTCATGGTGTACCAAGACAGTACGGTCAAGCAGGCCGTCTATATAGGGTACCTAGAGTCTCAAGGAGTCGCTGGCTGAGGGTACTAGATGTTCCCCTTAACTAATCTACAAGTATTCCCAGTACTATCTGAGATCTCCCGTTAATCTACACATAAATCATAACATCAGCGACAACAGGTCGATGATCTGATATATACACGCCATCGTCAAAATGGTTCGGCAGAACCGCATGAGTCAAGAACTCCATCCCTCTGACCGCCGGATCACGCACAAACAAATGGTCAAGAAACGTATCATCCGACGTATCATCCGTGAACGCAGTGTACGTTTTCGAGTATCCCAGCCTCCTTGACTCAGGAACCACGTCCCGAACATCGTGCAAGTTCCCATCCGCGATCAAGATCTGATACGCCGCATTATCCGGCTCAATGTTCAAGTCGCCGCCCAGAAACACCGGCACAGCCCCCTCTGTCGAGTTCTCCCACTCCTTCGCCGAGCTAACCAAGAGCTCTGCACTATGTTCCCTTGCAACCTGGCCCACGTGGTCAAAGTGCGTGCACATATACACCAGCGGCAGTCCACTCTCTACATGCTGGAACGACGCGACGGTGACGATGCGCGGGAGCGCGGCGTCCCAGCCCTTGGACCCGGGGACATCAGGTGTCTCGCTCAACCAGTACGTTCGGTTCTCCGTGAGAGTCCAAGTGCCCGGCTGGTAGTATATCGGGGAGAACTCCCCGGCAGCAACGCCGTCATCACGGCCGACGCCGACGTGGGACCAGGCTTGGCCCAGGTCTTGGGCGATGTCGAGGAGTTGTTCTTCGACTACTTCTTGCATGCAGACAAGTGATTCGGGCCGGGCTGCGGTCTCGTAGTTGAGCTGAGAGAAGAGGTGCGGTCTGCGGGTGGACCAAGGTGCTTCGTTGGTTCCTGGGTCGGGGGTGGCCCATCGGATGTTGTAGGTTATGAAGCGTAGAGCGAGGTCAGATGATTGGCAACTGACCAGACTCGCTCCAAACAACAACGTTGTGGCCAGAAAAGACTTCATTGCTGCTTGAAAGGAACTATGCCTTGGACTCGCTTTACATGTGGCACGGCAGTACAGAATTAATGGAATCAGAACAGCATTCATGACTAGAATCTTTGGCCTGAAGGCTTCCGGAACCTTTACTTTTCAAAACACACATGTTGAATACGATTTGGTGAGGGGAAGCACACCGAGAATTCCGATGGCACGCTCGCAGCTGCAAGTCGTCGTCACATCGTTACTTCAACAAGTCTATCTCTCGACCTTCCGCTTCAGGTTACCATTAGGCCGGCAGCGTTTACCCACGTTTCTCTAATCGACAGAGGGCTCCGGGTTCACGTGGGGTTCCAATGCCCGCTCATTCGCCGAGAAAGTGGAGATCCTCCGGTCAAGGAGGGGTCGAAGCCGGGTCGGAGGCCTTCTCACAGTTGGGGCACGGCATCGGGCTTCTTACCCCTCGGAGCCCGCGTCTAGTCTATCGGCTTACTGATGAACTAGACCATTCATCACTAGGAGGAGCTCTTGAGCCTCAAGAAAGTCGCTCGAAAAGCTCGATGCCATCATCCCTTCTTAGCTTCTCCAAAGCTTACCCGGTTGAGGCATAGATCACTGCGCTTGTCTGTTAGACACTGAGGCTCTGGGCCTCGAACTCGTCTATTCAAGGTTCATGGGATTATGAGAATGGATATCTCGCTCGTCAGCCAAGACACTCGATGCCAATCTTGCGCCTTAGCAAATTGCCAGAGCTCCTGAATTTCGACCAGCACCGAAACTCTCTTTTTGCCAAGATTTGCCCTAGGCGCTATTTCCAAGGGGGTTCACCGCTCATCACATGACATTTTCAACAATCATTCAACTTTTATCAGATCCTGTTCGCTAGCTGCGGACTAGAAATGGAATTTTGCCCAAATTTCACTTCCCCTGCCCTGAAGCTTCGCCGTTATACATACTACCTTCTTACTGCAGTACCTATAGGTGGTAGTGAGAATCGACACAGGTTCACAATCACGAGCAACTTCTCTTCGTGGCTCGGCTATCGGATCTGCCCTGTCTCGCACTGACATAAAAGCCTGATATCCCACTTTGTGCGTACCTCATCAATAATACGAGCCACGAGGTTTCCCTCCTCGTCCACCCACATTCCCGATCGATGATTGGGGGCTGGGCCGCAGGGCAGGTGTTCCTTCGTTGGAAGCTGGGCTCCATCCAATTCATTTATGCATTGATGCTGAAGAGGCCAGAGCGCCGTTCAGGGGCAGAGAACCTTGAAGGGACAGGGTTCCAACACGTGTGCTGACAGCCAATATGTCCACGATGCCCGGTGGGATCTTTTCTGCCCATTTACTCTTTGTCAACCATGTGGAGTTTCTGCTGTCAAGGAAGCGGAACAGAGGCTAAAACATGAGGAATTTTGGGTCATCATTGGCCAGTGGGAGGATTCTGCTGCAGTTATTTTGGCCACTGCCTTGGTTTTTGATTAATTTCCGTTGACAAAACGCGCACGTCGGGTTGGAGCAAGGTTGCATCCCAAGTGGATATTCTACAGGATTTTATACATTAGTCTGAAAACTAGCATCCGTACCTTTGACATTCCAACATCCACCCGGCTATTCACGTCCCTTCCTTTCAGTGACGATCCATAGACCCAGAACGACCTCCTGAACCTCTCATGTCGTGTGACATTTCAATGTCAACCTGATATGTGTACTGCGCGTGAATGCCGCCCTTTTGGTCGCTCGGCAGCAAATCCCCCTTATCCGAGTCGCCGTCCTGGAGGCGCTCCCACGTCTCGTCCCCTCTGCCGTGCACCGTCGCCAGACTGAAGCCCACGTCGGTCGGGTTGCGGAATCGGTCGCGGCTCCTAGGCTCGAGCGGCTTGCTTCCGATGGTGAAGAGACCCGTTTTGGTCCCGCTCCCGCTCGGGTTCGTCTTTTCCGACGTGCCGCGGGTTCGCGCGATGAAACGGCGTAGCGAGGGGACCGATGAGGCGATGCAGCCGATTCCGGTCTCGATGTTGGAGCAGAGCATCGTGTGGGCGACCCAGACTGGAAAAGGCCCCTTGTCAGCTTCTTTCATGACGCAATGGATTTGATTCATGGGTACCGGGAGGAGGAGAGGCGACGGGCTTTACTCACATTGAAGGTCTGTCTGACCTTTGAATTTGTTGACATAGGGGATACGGACCATGGTGATGATGGATGCTCTGGAGCTGCGTTAGCTTTGACATCGTGGCATGCTTTCCTCCAACGGTCAAACTTACACCGAGGCAAATGACAACAGTCCAAAGACCTGGAGCTTCGTCTGCGTCTTCATCTGCGTGCCCCAGAGAATGATAGCAGGCACAACAACCAAAGCCAGATCCGTCACAATTGCCGAGCTCGTCGCAACGTGGCCGATGGCGATTAGGACATCAACAGAGCTGCACGTTCCCTCGCCGCTGAGAATCATCGTGGGCGTCCAGATAGCCTCGACCGGCTTACAGTATAACAGCGTTCCGATAAAGGTGATCAGGAAAGAAGCCCACGTGACGCCGAGCAGGACCCAAACCGTGATGCGCAGAGCATTGTTCGTCGTGATGATTCGTTGGATGGTGAGGCAGACGGATGACTTGACGAGGGCGAGGGCGACGACGTATATCAAGATCCAGATGATGTAGATCTTGAGGGCCTCTGAAAACATCCACATGTTGAGCTTTTCTTGCAACGTGCCCAACCCGACGAGGCAGCCGTATATCGTCAGTCCCACGCTTGGTACGTAAACCACCTTTTCACGGGGCACATTAGCGAAGCTATTCGGTTTCTTCGAGATGGAAAGAGCGGCATACCGTTCCCGCGAGCATCAGTCCATCGTCCAGGCCGAATGTACCTTCAACGAGGCGCACGCTCGTTCGTACACCGACACATATCACCGATATGACGAGAAAGACGGATGATATGATGATGATGGCTAGTGGCAGGTGTTCCGGCTCGAGGATTCGTAGATCGGGGTCGACGTTCGTTGACAAAGACATATTGGGCGGCACGTGGTCTTTGATCAAATCCTTTTCTTGTCGTTAAGAAGCAATCCACCCTCACGCCACGGTTTTCCGAATGTGGTGTCGACGACAAAAAGTAGGCACTCCCCGAGTTATAAACCTCCGGGTAGAACCCTCTTCGGGGCTTCAAGTGCCGCAGCCGCAGCCTGCAGATCTATACTACTAATGCAGGGGAGCAGGATGGGCCGCTTGAGAACTAAATTCAGTTCCGGTAGTAGGAGGCGGCGTAGCAGTGGTAGTCTTGGGTCTTGGACTGCTCGAAAAGATCAGAACCGGGGATCATGTTCCTGGGTTCCATGGATGCAACCCCAGATATTAACATTTGGGGGGGCGCTACTTTGACACTTTGACACTTCGAGAACTGTCATAGACCTCGTAGTTGCTCATAGGCTTGCCACTGGTCGAGAAAACCTGATGCAACCAACAGGGACCGCCTTCCAACAAGAAGGGGGCCATAGACCCATGGACCATGGCAACCGGATGGCCTGGAAGAGGAAAAAGGTCAAGAAGCAGTTCTCGAACTGGGTCTTATTTGCCCACTTTCCCGTCACCAATGATCACTAATGAAGGAACCGGTCTTCAGGCCGAGAAGGCCCGGGTTGGTTGGAATTGGGGGCCGCTAGCAAAGGCGGCACAACGCTCAGGGGTCCGTTGCAAGAGGATGAGCATCCACCGCCCAAGGACTCCACAGCACTAGGCAAAAGACATCACCAACGTCCGAAGAGAAGCGTCGAAAAAAGTTGCATGGAAGGACGGGCTTGACAGTCGTCCAATGACGGGATCTGACATGTCGCATGGCAGACCGGCGCTAGTTAGAGCAGCGGAATCCTCTGCCACGATCGCTTTTGGGGGTTGAAACATGTCGATCACTACGACGTCGAAGGGGGCCACAATTGGGATCATCGCCGGCTACAGTCAGTATTCTACGATGGAATTGCGGGAGCCGTTGTTGGATGGTCATCTCGTACGAGGATAAGACGAGCCGCTCTGCCGCCTTCGGGTTCCAAGATATGATATGCCCAGTTCTGATCTGACCGGTCAACGCCCCCCGGCTGTGA